AGTAAGAATGACTACCGACGGTCCATTTCGTCATTTTTGCTAATGTTTTCATCTTTGTATTGTTATCATCATAATTTAAGGCTAACAAAGCATGGATAGTGCGGTGGTCCAAGTTAATGATATCTGGACCTTAGAAGCCGTATTAATGTTAGGCAACTTTCGCCTGTGTGGCAAATGCAATATTCCTCATCGTAGGCAGAATTTACTCGATGAAATGTGCCCACATTTTGGATTCTTTCCCACTACACCTAAGTCCGATGGATGGTTTGCTTGAGAAAAAAGTTTTAACATGTTTCTGAGATTAGATGCTACCGTACCAGAGGACAGTTATAGTGATGGATGATTAAGATATCGTGCTCAATTCTTACCATCGGTATTTGAGGTTAAAGTACGTTGTCGTTGTCCTTAGTGAGTGTCCTTACAAGCTTTGATAAAAAAATTTATATTTTGAATAAAACAGTTATAGCACAGCAACCAGTGGTTTGTTCATTCCTGATTTAGGCTTTAAAATTAGTAAAAATCAAATTAACTAACCTGTTAATCAACCTGTCATCGCATGGTAAAAGCAACAATATTAGACGGCTTTGCCTATGAGAAGGAACGGTGCGTTCGCTGGAGTATTTAGAAGCTCCATTATAAACGTGAGACATAATATCAAACCCGTAAGATATTATTACTTCGTGGAAGTTCGCTGTTTAATTGCTGTTAACGTTAGATAACCATGGCAACAGAAACGATAGGACTAGAAGTAAATACTACTGTTTGAAGCCTGTCACGCACCTTTATTCTGTTTATTCAGATCTTCGAAAATTTTGGAAAACATTCGGCAGAACTGCACTGACTTCTGATGCTGTACTTAAATACGAATCAGTCAGTCGGTCAGTGTTAATGACCACTTATCCTTTCAGATCACGGACGCAGCAGAGTCAGACACTGTCTCCAACGTTTGATCCTATGCCATTGTGGACACGGGCAGAAGATAGCCTGAGTTTGGAACAGAGCCCGTTGAGGTACATACCCCGGGCCATTCTAGGCAGGAACCCCTGTCTTCATCCGGTCTGAATTCGCCTTCTTTTCTGGAAGCATTGCCTAACCGTGTTCCAACCGTGTCAGTCTTGACTTTCAGAAAAGCAACGGCTGTCTCGGAGTGCGTGAGCCTAGCGATTCTTCTCAGAAAGCCAATTTCAGCCTCTCGCGTGCATCCAAGACAATAATTTTTTCGTCATGGCCCATGATTCATGGCCGTAGCTAAGCATGGAGATAAAAACTGACTTGAATACAGATCGCTTCATCTCCAGGCTCAGCTCTGCTTTAGTTCAACGAGTCGGGATAGATAAAAGAGAATGTCGCTGGTCGTCCTGATTTGCTGTCGCTGTTGCTTTTGTTTTCCATCACCGGCGAGCACGACCCGAAAGTTCGTCAGCTTCTTCATTTGTTCCACTGCTGCCGCTTTTATTCCGTGTCGTCCTTTATCATCACAGTCTTCACAAAACCACTGTATGAGTCTGCTTGACCACTTGACCATTTTTTTCTTATCTGACGAACTCTGTGTGTTAACATTAATGTGTAGCTGACTTTTCTGTTGCAGTTTTGTATTTGTTTATATTTTATTTTTAAAAAGATGAGTTTAGACTGCTAGAAGCAGGTGCTGACAAAGTTTACGCGATATGTGTTCACGGCGTATTTTCGGGACCCGCTTTGGCACGCCTGAATAACTCGTGTTTCGAGTCGGTGGTGGTGACAAACACAATTCCACAAGAGGAGAACATGAAAAAGTGTCCAAAGATTCAGTGTATTGACATTTCGATGATTCTTGCTGAGGCCATACGCCGTACGCACAACGGTGAATCTGTTTCTTACCTATTTTCGCATGTTCCAATGTGAGAATCCGTTACTTTACTTTAAAGCGACACAGTCGAGCATTTGTTTCGATGCATACATATGTTATTTGTCTAGGTTGATTTTGACATTTCTATTGTTTCAGAGCTGCTCGAACCGGCGTCACGAATTTTAACAACGTCGCTCATCTACGAATTAGCATAATGTCATGCTCTGAGAAAACCTCACGGTCGGTTTCAAGGGGGACACGTCAGTTAGCTTACGATAACCATTATTGTCCGTGTCAGAAGTCGCATAATTCTTCAAACGAGTTTGCTATCAGCGATCCGATTAGTCATCTTAACGTTCTCTCTTGTCCCTGCGCATGGGCTACATTTTCAACAGTCGTTGATGATTGTCTGATTACTGCGTTCTTTTTCGATTTTGTACTGTATACTTGATTTTCCTGAGGCGACATTGTTTGAACATGTAATGAGTACAAAATTTGCATATACCTTTTAAGTATGGCCAGATGTTGCCGTAGCGTACTGAAGCTTGTGCCATTCGAACCGCTGTGCTTGTCGATCCGTGGGAAAATTTCGTGAAGTAGCTGCTCTTACGGCTCCAAGAAACAGCGAAATAATAAGCGAGATGGCTACTGAAGTTCGAGAAATTTTTGTTCGATTCTGAAAACCAGCCAAAGTATGCTTTTCCAATACAGCTGATGGCATATCTCTAGCTCCTGTCCTGTAGGTTTCGTTAGAGATATGACTTAACTCTGCACTTCTCCGTGTATTTATGCATGGAACTTTGGCAACTTTTTATTCATTTATGAATGATACCTCTTGCTGGTTTTTCTCCACTGAGGTGGATCACTGCGAACTGTAGCTATAAGGCGCACTCGTTAGATGATTAGTCTCGCAAGCGCTGGCATAGTCTCACCTGAATACCATGTATCAGTCATTCATCTGTCATGGATCTCGTCTCGACTATTTCCAACAAGACTGTGCATGATGTGTCCTTTAGGCGCGACCGAGTACTTGGTCCTGACCAGCGAGCTGATCAAAAGCAATAAAATTGAGACTCAGGCTCGTTGGGCCGGTGAGTTTAATGGGACAGCCTAAAATGGAAATTTGTTCGAATTATATCGTCGAGGCAGACAAACTTGCCTGCAGTGAACGTGGTCTAATATTAATCCGAAATGCCATATTCAGCGGTCAGATGTCATAAATCTGGATTTCTCTGCTGATTAAGTTATTTTAGTCTTAGATGACAATGATGAAACAGTGTTCGTAGATTTACTGCTTGCTTTGGTTCTCCAGCCGGTCGCACCGAAGCACAAAGGGCAAGCGTTTTGCGCAAGCGGATCAGCTTTTAATAAAATAATTATGTCTCGCTTGGATTCGAACTGACAATTCGGTAACCACGAACCAGGTCATCTGTTTCGGAACTGATCCTGGTAGACGTTCGCTAATACGTGGTAGCGTCGTCGTCGTACACAAGTCGATTGCCCATCGATGCAGAAACTTTGAACAAACTTGGCGTGCGGCATTTCCAGACTCCCGGCAGTTATTGATTCAGTACGCTGTGAGATCGGTCAGTTTCGAATTTCACAAACATGTGATAGTGAAGCTGAGGGAAGGTTACATGCTGCACCCTCAGAAAATAAATAAAACATTGAATCACTGGCAGTTTTTTGAGGTATGTTGTTCCAGCTTTATTCAGTATTGCAGTGGGTTTACATGACGAGGAAGAACGTCGTCTCGACGGGACTAAGAAGCTTTACAAACAGTCAGCGACACAGTTTGAGGCAGTTGTCACTACCTTCTTCAGACTTTTAGGATACATGACATGGCTGTCTTTATCCTGAAATAATGCCAATTTCAACCATGGAAGAATGGAAAATTGAGCTCTGATTAACGCGTTATTAATCCGGGAACAGTAAATTGCTTCAGTAGCAGGCTTAGAACGGCAATTGGCAGTAAAGATGTTTATTCCAAAGGAAATATTCAGTATTCAGCTTTAGAGGCACTGACTTTCAGTCAAACTTAAATAATTTATTTAAATATTTTTCTTTCACTCATAGTTTAACAGTTTGGGCAAGCTTGTCCATATGGAAAGATGATTTTACGTCTCATGTTGGTAAACTACCTGCGACGTAGGTT